AAAGACTGGTTCATCCCAAAGATCCAGTCCCCCGGCACAAACAGAGAAATGTTGTGTATGTTGTTCAGTGTCAGGAGGGTGATCAGTCTTACATCGGGGAAACTAAACAGCCACTGGCCAAAAGGATGGACCAGCACAGAAGATCAACATCATCAGGCCAGGACTCTGCGGTCTACACTCATCTCCAGGTCAGAGGTCACTCTTTCAGGGATGAAGATGTTCACATCCTGGACAGAGAGGAACGATGGTTTGAGAGAGGAGTAAAGGAGGCCATCTTTGTGAAAAGAAACCGTCCATCATTAAACAGGGGTGGAGCCTCCAGGTTCAACTGTCCCCCTCTTACAATGCTGTGATTGCTAGTATCACTCAGCCCTCTGTGAACAGTAAACAGCCATCAGGTGCTAATGATCCATTGTTAGGCTGATGGTCCTTCTTGACCATGTGAGCAGCTGGTTCTGGTTGTCAGCAGCAAACTGGTTGATCCACTCTGAGAAGGTGCTATTTAAGAGACTGAGCTGAATACAGCACCTCAGACTGAGGAAGTCCTCAGGATGAGAGACGAAACGTTTCTACATTTTTTGTTGTTTTGCTTTGTTTTGGTTTTTTTGAATGTCCAGAGGACCAGATTTAACTTTTTTAGATTTAAAACAACTGTTTACTCCTCGCTGGTTCGTTTCTTTGTGAACGAACATCAAAACATTTTCATCAGTTCTCAGTAAAACTACAGGATTACGCAACTTCCTGTGGGGATTTCAAAATGATCATGTAATAACTCTCTTCTGTCTTCACACGTCGAAACTTGAAATTAAAATACATCTAAGAACGTTTATCGTTTAAACAAACCCAGTCCAACTGAAACACTCGGTCCGAGTGAGCCTGGCTAGCAGCGGCTAACAGTTAGCTGTTTTAGCTCCTCCGCAGCTAAAACAGCTGACTGACTCGGAGTCCACGTGTTTGGGGCAGGAGCTGCTCTCCTCTTGTGTTAACGAACACAAACTGAGATCTTTACACCAAGAGAACAAACAGGAGGCTCAAAGGAGCGGGTGTACCTGCGCGAGAATCCACCTCCTCCTCAGGTGCGGAGAACTTCCGGGTTGTTGACGTCACACTCTGCGAGCGCTGAGTTCGTGATGACGTAACTCCAAAGATATTTATGCTCCTGCTTTAGAGAAACGATGCTTCACTTAATTTAACCCCCCAAAACTTACCTTTAACTATTTTTTTCAACATTAGCGCCATAAAATAAGTTAAATTTAAATAATTCCTCAATGAATAACACTGACAGATTAATGCAGATTATGCTCTACACGACCCCTGGTGAGATTATACTGAACCTAACAATTGCAACAAAAGAAGTATTGCAGATTGGAGAACTAATTTACTGCGGATAAATGAATTTGTCTTTAGTTCCATGATGTAGACAGCCGTGTCAACGCTGAATGCACTCGGTGAAGATTAAATTAGAACGGTCCTTCAGGCGCCCTGCTTCCTGCCAGACTCCCAACAGCTGCAGGTTGAAATGCCCAGAGTGCAGCCGGTGAACAAGAGACGACCACTCTGGAAACAAACGAACTTTCTTGCCAGTGTAATAATTTTATGCCCCTGTGGTCTGATGTGGTCCGTCCACACCTCCCACCTGAGCTCAGATCCTTCTGGGCCGTGGTCTGCTGATCCCTCTCCCCGCAGAGAAAAGACTCAGAATTAATAAAAACTCGAACCACCGGACTGCAGCACAGATTTCTGAGCTGCCTCCACCCCTCATCCGTTATGTGCTACAAAGATTAAACTCTACAGTCAGAACCGTCATCGGGCGTCAGACAGGAGGAAGGCAAATGTTGAGAAGCTGTTTTTAATCGAACCGTTCCTTCGGCTGCTTCCCAGCAGCTCCACGTGGCCGAAGAGTTTCTAAAGTTCATTTTCACCGAATGACACTCGTTCACACACAGCCTCGGGTTCACCGGAACAAAACACGTTTTTTTTTTTAAGTTACACCGCGTTGTTTTTAGAGGAAACATTTCAAGTGTGCAGAAGTTCCTGTTTGTTTCGGAGCTCCTCGGGAGAAGCGCACGGAGACACGGGAAGCGGCGCCTCGCTGCTCTCATGCAGACGAACCCTCCGAGGACTCCTGGGATTAAACAATCTACATCCGAACGGGCGAAAAGCTCAGACGCCTCCTCCTCTGACCTGAAACACATCCATGAAAAAACAAAGATCAGAAGCTGCTCAGACCGACGGCTGGAGATCAAATCTGATTCAGCTGTGCCTCAAACAGAAACATCAGAAACCAGAACAGCTGTAAACAGCTGTAGGTCCCAGAACACGTCTTCCGTCCCCACGGGTCCTGATGATGTCAGAGTTTCTAACGTTACGTCTGCTCTAACTTTAAAAAGGTTATTAGACGTGAAAATAAATAAACCAGTTTATTAAAGTTAAATAAGTCGTCAAAGTTTCAGGTTCAAGAGAATCGAAATACACCGGGAATCATTTTAGAACCCGTTTCACTGAGAGAGCAGAAAAAAAAACATTTAACGCTTCAACTCTGAAAAGTGGATTTTGTTTGGAGACTCCAGGTTTTAATATTTAACATTTTTCACAGCGACAGAAACAAATATAAATACTATAAATGTATAAGAAAATAAAAACACCAATCAATGTTGATTTCACCAATTAATGCCCGTTTAAAACAAGCTCTCGTGTGATTCGTTATCTCTGCAGGGATCACTCTCAGCTACTACCACACCTGCTGAGTTTGAACCGTTTTGAGTTTTAAGGCTTTAACAGAACACCCTTCATCGATTGAGGTGGTATGTGGTGTTCCTCAGAGCTCAATGCTCGGCCTTTTGTAGCTGATCTTAAACGTACGGTCCACGTGCGTCACTGCTGCTCCTCGTTGCCGGCGCTGGGCGTGCGGTTGCGGATCTGACTCCTCAGCTGTTCGATGAGTTCAGGGTTCTGCTGCTGCATCTGCTGCGCGAACTGCTGACCTCTGCAACACAAACATCTGTCAGCGACATCATCCGCACGCAGCCGGGAAACCCACACCTGGAGATACTCACGCCTGGATCAGTCCTGAGAGGTCTCCAGGTCCTTGAGGTCCTGGGGGAGGGGGTGGTGCTGGGGCTGCACCTCCTCCCAGTCCTCCTCCTCCCAATCCTCCTCCTCCCAATCCTCCTCCACCCGCTCCCCCTCCTCCTCCCATCCCACCGTACGCTCCAGACATCATTCCTGACATCCTGGGAGGCAGAAACAGGAAGTTAGTTTGTAAAAATGGAGCAGAAGAAGAAACGATGATGGAGACTCACATCTGCTGAACCTGAGGATTGTTCATCAGAGTGGACGCCTGAGGAGACACAGTCAAACGGTCCGGTCACGTTAAATGGACTCCGCTCTTTATTTCTGTGGTTGTTTGTGGTTAAAGTCCTAAAACCAGAGGTGAGTTCTGCATGTGGAAGAGTCCAGAACTCACCATGTTCATGAAGCCGGGGTTACTGAGCAAACCGGCCAAGTCGATTCCTCCCAAACCTGCAGACTGAGAGAGGAAACACCGGCTCAAACAAACAGAACCCACGGGGACACGTCCACTCGTCCCGGTCACTCTTACCGGACTGGACGTCTCCATCTTCTCCTCAGCGATCTTCAGGTTGGTTTTGTACGTGTCGTTGTCCGGGTCGAGCTCCAGAGCTTTCTTATAGAAACCGACGGCTTCTGCATGTTTGTTGAGGCTGGACAGAGCCAGACTGAAAGACAGAGACATGAGGACGTCAGGACGA